TACAGACGAGCCGGCCCTTTCCACCAGGCCAATGTATGGGTCGTCTTTTCTCTTCAACGAATACCCATAAGCAATCTGAAGGATCGCCGAGTCTGAAGCACTGAATTCATAGGACGTGGGTGAAACGGGTCTTAGGAAGGCACTCAAAGGAAGGCCTACAATCTAACGTGTTCATGAAAGTGCTCCGGCGACTCCGCCAGGTTGCTCATCAAGTCGGCGGTCGCTGTTCGTTGTACAGGATAGTAGTCTGAGATTGCACGAGGTTGAAAGTACTGGTGAAACGTCCTCCGGTGGATCCTACTTGACAGTCAAGGCAACAAGCGAATAGAAATCAGAATCAAGTACTCACCGCCACCAATCCGAGTATCTCATCACTCATGGCGAGTGTCAGCAAGCTACAGGTGATACGAGATGAGCGACAACACACGAGAGGTAGCCCAATTCCATCTATAAGGGTCGACACTGTCATTAGTTTGATTGGGAAGGGGTACAAGAAACGAGGACGTACTCCATAAGATCCTTGACCATCGGCATGTCTGTCGGGTGATTGCAAGTCAGTTCAATGAGTCCTGTGGCCATTGCATTATCTGAAATCATGATTACCTGGCCTGTCCGAGTAGTTGGAAGATCTCTTGTCAAGGAGTTCGAACATCGCTTTGCTCGAGTTTAGGACGATGGTGTGATGGCCGAAAATGGAGAAGTGAAAGACGTCGCCGTAGACCTTGGACCAATTGAAGTAGGTGACACGAAGATCGTCCTTCCGTTTGGCGAGGTCGAACAGTGGCCCTACGATGGGTAAGTTTTTTGGTCCGGGTGGTAGAGGCGGACGTCCGTTCAGCCATCTCAGCAGAACGGTGAGCGAGACTGTAAACAAGGTGAGGATGAGGGGGTGCATGTTGTTGTGTTCAAAAAAAAACATACTATTGGTCTTATACCCGGTAGCTTCGGGGAGCATAGGCTCTTGGGTCAATGTTTTGGCACCGTCCATTCTCCCACTTTAGTTCCTCTAGTCCATACGTAGACATTCATCCGACTGCCTGCTGTGCGGGACTCGTACGTGTCCTATGTTATCGGATAGTAGCGTTTCTGCTGGACAATCCTCCGTGAACCTCGTTGTTTCCAGATGAAAGATCGTACAAATATCGTCAGGTCTTGAGATCGCTGTCGTAAAACATCTGAATCGTGGCGCGATGGGAGACACTGGGTTGTGCTCGACGTCGCTCGTGAGTCGTGGTCCTTTAGAATGGAGGTTCCCACAAAAGATGGTTTACGTTCAGTCAGGAACTTGGGCTAAATTGTCTTGTAAGAGCATCTTTATCTGCCAAGAGGGAATGTTTAGACCTGAGTGCTTGAGCAAAGACCTGGATTGGTTATGAACTTGCATTGCGTCCACTGTCAGGAGTCAAATCCGAAACTTAGAAAGTTCAAGATAACCACCAATTCCTATGCATCAGCTGAGAACGATATGAACGGGAGCCAAACAGGAATTCACCCTTTCTTTACCTGGGCCACTATCCTCAGCCTAGGTCCAGACAAGTTCTCCTTGACGGGTGCGAGTTCAGGATCGCACAGTAGCCGGAGGATCGAGTACCTGACACCTGTCCAAGACGCCCAGACGGTCCGGCCCGACTAAAAAAGGCAATTGTCACCGATCACGCGAAAATCAAAGTTCGCGTTGTGTGCTGATCAATACTCCACTGATCTTTTCTTCCCAACCACCACCCCCGAAATGTATTCGCAATACAGAGACGATCCGGGAAGACCTTCCTTCCAGCAAGACCCGTTCAATGACAACATGCGGGTGGTATGCATTCAAGGTTTCTTGTTGTCCCTGAACGAGTTGCTAATGACATGACAAAAATAGCCGAGTGGTCACAACGAGTCGACGACAAATATTCCTCTCGTTTCTCCTCAGCATTCGTATGGCTATCAACCGCAAGGAATGGAGTCGGGGGACTTGGGGAGGTATCATGATGAAGAACAACACCACGGAGATGCTGCCGGGTACAGACCTCGAGGTGGTTCTGGTTCCGCAGCAGCTCTGGGAGCAGGTGCCGGAGCAGGTCTCGGTGCCACAGCTGCAGCTGGTGCGATGGGCGCTCCAAGATCACACTTTGGAGATCGAAGAGAGGCCATGCAGAGGGATGCGAATGAGGAGTGGCTAAGAAATACAAGCTCGGGCGGGAAGACGAAACGGTCAAAGTTGCTGGTGCGTTGTTGGATTCATTATTGAGATCGACTGCAACGTCCTGACGATGACTATTCTCACTTGACTTTTTGAAGATCATGGGGGGCATTGCATTGCTTGTTGTGATAATTGTTGTTGCGGTCGTTGCTGGAGTGCTGGCGTCTCGAAAGAGTGGCAGTTCATCATCATCATCATCCTCATCCGGTGCAACAGCAGATCCCAACAATGCGGCGAACTTCCAGAAAGATTCCAAACTCAAGAAATCGTTCTATGGGATTGCATACACACCAACAGGATCTCTCTTACCCGACTGTGGTAATAAATTGGGTGAGTATCTCGGAGCTTGTGTCTGGATCCGGTTCTCATACTTGTCCTGTAGAGGAGGTCGTCCGGGATGTTCAGGTACGCTCTAAATTCTTCAACAAGGGTAGGGCCAACTGACTGAGCCTACCAAAAGCTCCTCTCTCAATTGACACCGGTAAGCGAATAAGGTTACCATGCCTTCTGCCTATTTACGGCTATCCCTCAGCGAATTCGTCTGTACGGCGCGGACTGTAACCAGACCGCTCTCGTGGTGAGTAAACTGGCTTTGAGAGCGCAGAGGACCTAAATTTACCACCCTGTCTACCTTCGTAGCTTGATGCGATCGCACGAACGGGGGTCGATTTGCAAGTGTACATTGGCAACTACCCGGTCGCAACAGATAACGGCGTAGCGTACAAGAGGCAGCGTGATGACCTTAAGGACGCCCTCCAGAAGTTCGGTGCGGACCATGTAGCTGGAATGACCGTCGGGAACGAATTCATTCTCAAGTAAGCAAGCACCTTGACCTGAGTGACGATCAGTATTTCTCACATGGCCTTCGCATTCAAAAGCTATCTAAGTGCAAACGGAGGGACAGATCAGGGCCCCAACAGTGCCGTCGGCAACCAAGGCGCTGCCATCATCGTGGACAACATCAAGGACACGCAGTCCATGCTCTCTGGTCTGAGTTTGAGTAAGAACATTCCGATCGGCAATGCAGATGCAGGCAGTTTCTTCAATACTCAAATCCTACAGAGTGTTGCTTACGGGGTGCGTGCATGACCTTTTCTCTTGAACGTGCAGCTTGGTCTGATTATCTCTACTCTTGCTAGATGTCGAACGTACACCCGTGGTTTGCAAATGTTAGCGTGGATACTGCCGCCGCTTGGACATTCAACTTTTTCCAGGAAACGAACGTCGAGCCGGCTGCTCTGCTTCCGAACAAACCGCAGATGTCTATCGCCGAGACTGGTGAGTTTCTTTCTCAAATGAGGGTGATTTGGCCTGATGAACTACATCTTACTTAGGATGGCCCACGGTCAGTTCAACTCATGAAATTTGTCCAAGCAAAGTTTGACATTCTCGTCTGTGTTGCAGAAATCATCTGATAAGGGGAACGAGTCCAATGGGGCCTCCTTAGCATCGACGGAGAACCTCCAGGTTCGTTTTGGCCCCGTATATTCAGCATTCTACGATGATGCTAATACCTCCAACAGAAATTCATTGATACCTTCGTATGCCAAGCTAACGCCAACGGAACGGAATACTTCTTCTTTGAGGTTAGCAGGGACTCCGAATTTTCCCGCGAAGCTCACTGACATATCCTCCTACGACAGTTCACAGACGAACCCTGGAAAGACCAGATGTTCGGTGGTGTTGAGGGATGGTGGGGGCTTTTCAATCATGAGTAAGTCGCACCTTTCACCCTTGTCATGCCCAACGGATTGATTTGTTTTGGTAGTCGCACCCTTAAGGATATTACCATACCAGATTGCCCTCCACCTTGAACGTCGAACTTTTATCTCCATTAACCTATACACCGTTCTTGAATCTTTATTCGGAACATCTATTCTTACATCTGATGTGGACTATTGCTCTCTTTTTCTACCTACCTAAATGTACTTGAATCCGGACCATAACCTTATCTTTGCTTGGACGATCACTACTGTAGTGAAGATGTAAACCCTTTATGTCGTAGCAATTCCTACGTTCCGCTCCTTTCCTTGGGATCGAGTGTTGATGATATCAAGCGATGGAATAATCCCAAGATAGAACCGCGTACGTCAAAGAGGCCATGTATCCGCGTCGTCAAAGATGGTGTTTGTTATCAACAGTGCATGATCTCATTCGGGTGTAGACAGAGGGTATTCTGGACGTCCGAAGAGTGACGATATTTGGGTAGAGAGTTCGGCTCGGGTTTGCTGGCGATATTCATCAAAGTAAGGGCACTTGACGAAAATATTATTATGATGTGGGGTTTTAAGTTCTCGACAGCCAATTGAGCACCATAGTTCGTCGCCTAGTCTCCGGAATTTAGTAAAGGAAGCGTCCAATTGGGAGGATCGAGCGTATAATTGAACGACAGCGGAGTATGCGTGGAATGACCTCGTGTATGGGTGCTCGGGTGGAGGAGATGGGTCATAGAGAGGAAGAAGGGTCGATGCGGGTCGGAACGATGGAGTGTTTGCGGATGAGGAGGCCGTTTTGGAGGATATGTAAGGTGAACATAATCGATAGCCTCTGGGCGCTCGCAGGTGCAAGCCTCGCTCTTGGTCGTTGATTTAGGCATTGCCAACCGCCAAATACACAACATGAGGGAACAAGCCTCCTACAGCATCTTCCTTTCAGGTTTTCATCTGTCGGGAGGCTGCAGGGATGTTGTTTGTTGCCATGAAGCCGAGGCGCCTTGGCCCGAGTAAATCCGAGATTGGAGCAAACGAAAAAGTACCAAACGGAGACTGCAGGCTTTGCAGTCGTCTCTATAAGGACGTGGATTACGACTTGCGCGGCATCAGTGGTCTAACGGTTATGATGCGACCTTCCCATCGGTATAGTTTAGATTTGAGGCTTAGGTCGCGAACGGGGTTCGACTCCCCGCTGATGCATCCGTTTGAGCCCTTGAATTTTTATTTCCATTTTTGCCACTACCTGCATGAGGAAGTTCCGTGGCGTTCAGTGAAACACGCCTTCCTGTATAAAGTATAGACCACTCCAGTATCTCATGGCCTCCATGGCCCAGCACTCTTAGGCTATTTGTTCTTCTCTTGTTTCTTCCTCTCCTTCGCGGCCGTCCGACCCACTGTTCTCTCCTCCTTCGCGACCCTCATATCCTTAGGAGCAGTGGTACGCAGCTGCTTGATATGAGTCGGAATGATTCTCTTTTGTTGACTAGGTGGAGGAGGAGCAAGCCATGGTGCTGTCACAATCGGGATGCTCTCTTTGATCAGTGATTCGAGGTTTGGGGTGTCAGCCTTGAAACTCGTGCTCAACAACTATCGACAGGGCCTGAGAGAGACGAAAATAAACGTACGTCTAAGCCAACGACAGCCACTCTTCGAAGATTGAACGCATCTGCTAACGTATGTTCCGCACCTGCTGGTAGGGAAATCAGGAGGATAGGTTTGTCTTCACCACCAGGAGGCAACGACGAGTTGTAACCCGCGACGATGTGAGGGATGTGGTCGATCAGAATGGGTGGATTGACATCCGCACGACAAACGAGAACTACTCGAATCGGCGATGGGAGAGGTAGTGGGTTAGTTTCTAAAGTCGAGGTCGAGGAGCTTATAGTGACATTCCGACGTTGTTGTCCAAGTTGTGTTTCCAATCGTTTCGTGACTGCGTTGATTCCTACCGTTACGTGCGAGAGAACCGAAGGTTGATCCAGCGTTTGACTCCGCGTTTGGGATTCTCGAAAGGTATCCTGCTCCATCTGGGTAGCGCCAGCTTCGACATCTACTTGGTCCACCGACATTCCATCCTTTTTCGCTTTCTTTTTGGGCTTCTCCTTCTCGTTCTTCTCTCGTTTTCTTTTGCGGTTTGCTAGACCCCGAGAGCGGTGATACTCCGACACTCCATCCAGAAGAGTAACCGTTTGTGCTAGAATCAGATTCTGGAGGTTCACTGGGATGGATGGCCTGAAAGATCGACATCAATCGTGTCAATCACGCAGCAAAGGGGTAAAACTACCAATAAACGCGAAAAGGATTGTCAAGAACAGGCTTAAAGACAACCTTCTTCTCCGAAATGGCAGGTTTAGCGCGATTGGATTGTTGTGTGTGAACTTTGGCTGTCGCGGACATGACGGGGAAGAAAGAGTTGCGTTTCTGACTTTTTCGCACGGACCATATCTTGTAATCCGCTTCAACGGTCAAGATTCAAGGTACGCCAATCTTTCTCTCCTTTGAACAGATACATTGAATGAAGTTTCCAAGAACATGTTGGTAAAATACAATCATAGGCTCATGGATCACGAGCGGGATCCGTTCAACCGTCTTCTTTCGCCATGATGCGTGAGGATGTTGGGCCATACGAGACACCGGCCTTGAAGCAAACGTTCAAGTCTCTTTTGCCTCCGAACCAACAGATCGCGGAACAAATCGGCACCTGAAAGGCTTTGGATGGCTGTAAAGGGCCGTCCACAATCAGTAAGCGTGTTGACACCAGGAAACCAGGTACCTCTCCCCAGAGGCTCAGGAAACCGACACTGCTCACATACCTGACCACAGCGTCCGTATATTCGACCGCAGGCACAATCTCATTCCCGTCATCGTCAATTTCCCTCTCAATCGTAAATGTCGCAAGAAGGTATGCGATCACCAGGTAGAGTGTGTTGAGCGCTAGATGCCTTCCTGGACAGATCCTTCACACAGGGAAGTGAGTCATATATAGATCTTTATGAGGCTGACCGGGCATTGACAGACCTACGACCGAATCCAAACGCAAAGGTCTCGGGGTCAGGAGGGTACTTTCCGTTGTACTCTTTCGCGAATCTGTCGGGATTGAACGACATAGGGTCGGGCCCATACAAGCTTTCGTCGTGTAGCACAGCCCTCGTAAGAAAACGGAACGTGAGCGAACTAGACATTCAGCCTCTGCCGTGCGCATATATGACCTACCAGACGTTTGGAACGATCGTTGTCCCTGTCCAGCACACGTGTGTCAGAAATATTGTGTAGGCCCAAGCAACAAGAAAGAACGGGTAGAGCTTCACCTGCTGGTATCCGGTACCCCTCATATACGTCGTCATCCAAGGCGCGGTGCGAGACACCTAGAGGTTGTCAGCACCGAGAAAGCTTTACATCCAACGTTCACCAATTACCTAGTGGCAATGCCGGATACCATCTCAAGGTCTCAGCAAGGAGGGCCTTTACGAAAGGCAAACTCTCGCGATGTTCGAAGTCGGGGAGCCTTCCGGGACCCACCACTGTCGATTTCTTTCTGAGCGCGGATCTGGAGCTCCGGATGGAGTACCATGGCGAGAATAAAGGTGAGAACTGAGGATGAGGTCTTGGGGGGTGAAAATGGACAGTGATGGTCAGGAAAGACCTGCATATCTGGTTCGTCGGACCACGGAGTCGAATGCTCACCGTCTCCTCGCCGGCTGTTCCACTGATGTTGAGAGAAGGCATATCGGAAGCGGCAAAGGGTCCACGCACCAGCGTAAGCAGTTGTGGCGCAATTTTTAATCACATCCTCCATCGCCGAGTTCTCACCAGGGGTCACCGTTAGTTTTTCTGAGCTTTTTGTACAAAACGACGGTATCGCCGTGCCGTCTTCCTATCGACAGTCTGATCGTCAGAATGGATACCAGTGCAATGAGGTGAAACGGACGAGAGCGTTCTTGACCCAATTCCAAGGCTGTTCCCTCAGATTCCTATTCGACTGCATCCACTTTTCCGCTTTCTGGTTGAAGTTTACTCCCGGAAACCAGGCTTGACGTCCCGAAAACTCCTTCAGCAAATTATAAGAGGGTGACAATTATTCACGCACATGGCAAGTACTGCGTAACGGCGTAAAGATCGAAGGAGAAGAGCGCAAGTGTGGACGTATCGTTCATCGCCTCCATCGCTTGGGAGACCAGCTGTACATACGGGTCGTTTTCAGCCTGAAGCGTATACCCATACATTATCTTGAGAACCATCGATCCCGCATGGCTAAGACAAGGCTGTCAAAATCCACAGAGATTCTGACTGGGGGTCGGATCGCTTACTGCCTGACGTGGTCAAAAAAGTTCTCCGGAGAAGTGGTCAGTTTGTCCATAAGTGAGGCGGTGATGGCCTTTTGTATGTTGTAGTACTCGGGGACAACGCGAGGTCGGAAATGCTGATGAAACGTCCTTCGGTGCAACCTAGACGATCGTGTCAAACCTGGTGATTGAAAAGGATCCAGAGCGCGATACGACCTCCACCAATCGGAATACCGAAAGACTTGAAGTGATAGACCTCGTTAGAGAAAGAGGGCTAAACTCGGTTCCAATAGGAGCTCAGACGCACGTCCAAGATTCCACGTCAATCTAGTAACAGTTACATCATGAACCGTCTAAAGGTGAGATCCTTCGTCGGAATCGATAGAAATCTGATGAAGACGTACCCCGCGATGTCCATTGCGAGGGGCAGATCTGCGGTGAATGTAGGCCGTCACTTGCAAGTATTTTCAGCCTCTGTACGCTGTTGTCCCTTACTTACCAGGCCGGTCCGAGTAGTTATATGACCTCTTCTCTAGGAGCGCGACCATGTCTGTACACGACTTAAGGACAATGGTACGACTTCCGAGAACGTGGAGATGAATAATATCGCCATAAATCTGCGACATCTTAAGGTATTCTTTGTGTATTGGTAGGCTAGATTCCGACCCCCTTGCGATATTTCGAAGATTCCCGATGAGGGGTAGCCCTGCTGGGCCAGGCGGTACTGGCGAGTCTGCTCGAAGACGACAGAACAGCTGCCTCAGAAAGAGTAATAGTAGGGGAGCCGCAATTAACGACAAGCTGAGCAAAGATGGCATGAGAATGGCAGTGGGGGCGCGAAGAGACCAAGGACGGTGACCTTATAAGCGTGCTTTTGCAGACCGTTTCTCACGCCAATAGATTTAGCCTGGCGTCATGTACGATTGTCAGCTGTAATGTTCCAGTGGACTTCAAGAATGCCTTCTTTATGCAAGTAATCCCCCAGCCCATTGCGAGTAGAAGTAGCAATGACGCCGACACAGTCACAAGTCGCTGTGTGGGAGGCGGGTCTCCATCACCATGGTTGACCTTCCAAGAGTAGAGAAGAAGAGGGCTTGGACAAACCTTCGTAGTCTTGAGCTCCCGCGATGTGACCAAAGCCCAAGGCACGGACTGAAGCCGAGAGAAAATTTCTGGTGTCATACAACGCTATCGAGGTCATTTCGTCTATCAACTTCCCTCTGACTTCATCCGACTTCCTCGAGTGGAAGTAAGTTTTGAACTGAAGAAGACGGGGAAGTGGCGTGGGAAGTGCTTTGGTGAACGTTGCCTGAAGTTCCCAGGCTCGTATAGGACCTTCCAGATAAGAACAGAATTGAGTAGAGCCATACAGTACGTGTACAAGTTGTCTGGAGTCAAACACATGCTACGAAATTCAAGTGATCACTGATCTTGATTCAAATTATGTAGCCCTTCCCTCGGAATGAATCGACACTTGAACGGTTTGGGAAAGCTGAAAAAGAGCAAATGTCATTGTCGATTTCGGTTGAAGAAGGCGACCATACCATATAAGTCCATAATGCCATTCGGCTTTGGGTGTAACCTCCTTCCCCTCGTCATCCAGAGGTTTTTTCATAGTGAACGTCGCCAGCAGGTGAGTGACGACAAGAAATAGCGTATTCATCGCGAAGTACCTCCCGGGGCAAATCCTATCGTATCACAAGTTAGAGAAGCGAAGACTCGGACTATTGTGTCCAATGCCTACCTCCTCCCAAAGCCAAATATGAACAATTCTGGGTTCGGGGGAAGTTCTTTCCCATCTTGCTTCAAGAAACGTTCCGGGTCGAACTTCTCGACGTTAGGACCGTAAACGGTCTCATCCTGCACAACCGCCCTGCCATCGTATTAAATCATGATCAAAAAGTGTAGATAGGGTAA